CTTAATTGCATAGTAATACATAGATACACAAAATATACATGTGTAAACACAATATCTTTATGAACATTTTGCACATAACAGTTGAATGATGGCAACATGAAGGAAAGTGGTGAATGCAGAGGTGAATTCAAGTGAAGACTTGGATGCAGCTCGTTAAATTAATCTCTCTCTTTTTGGAATAGGTACAAATCACAGTCGTTATCCAGTGCTGATTAAATTATGCCACTGAAGGCTTGAAGCACTATCCATTCTGGAACTAGATTCCATCAAAGATTGGCATTGTTCTGCCCCTGCTAAGGATATCCTCGTAAGATCTATGCATAGCTTTGATTGGTGGGCAGTCCTTCAGATCTGGTTGCTCGTACATGGGGGAAAACCAGTCTGAAATTCTAAGGCTAATAAAAAGGAAGCATTTCTGCCATACTTGAAGCTTGGTTTGTGTATATATGTGTCTGCATGTAGAATTATGACTAATTGCACAATTTGGCCATGACAGTCAGCAGAAAGATGTCTGAATAGGAAACTGTCCATCCCGGCTGTCATTATGCATGGATAAAAAAACCCCTAAACAACCACCTTAGTCACAAAGACATGCCCCTTGTCTCTCTTCTCCTCATTATATGATGGATTATTCAAGGATTTTTCCAGACCTGCTTTGGAGAACATGCGCAGATTCCAACACATGGGACTTCACAGCATTATAGAGACCTGTAGTTGTTGTTGTAAAAAAGAGGAGATTTAGTGGATTGGTTTTCCCTGTAGGTGAAGTCATAAAATTGTCTGTATTGATGTTCTTCACTGTGTCGTTGGGAGTATCTCTATGACTAAACCAGCTTTTATTTCATGTCTATAAACCAACTGCTTGTACCTGTATTTGCAGTGTGATTCTGACTACATTAGTTCTTAGTTTGTTACTCAGAAGGCACTGTTGATTTGCTGAGCCAGAATTCTCCCCTTTCAAAATTCCAGCAAATGCCATGCAAATTATGCTGTATTTGCCTTTGCTTTATTATACAGCAAAGTCGGGCTTAACATTTTGGGCATAGACACTAATAATAAAATTTGGGCTGTGTTAACCATGGAATCTTGAGCTTCTGGTGAGTGTTGTTTGCTTGCAAGGCTTGCACAGGAATTTGTGGGCCGACCGGGTAAGCACAAAATGGTTAGCTGTGAGATTTACATGTGGTGCATGACCCAACTTTTCTTGCCAAGACCGGCGTTGTTTTAATTTTGGGGGGGGGGGCTCTGAACATAGCGCGAAATTTGACAGGGTCAGAGGGTGGAATAAAAATATGATAAAAGTTGCCCTAATTTACGTAAAGTAAATGGTCCAGGCACGGAGGATGAACACAACTTAATGAGAACACTTTCAAATAGGAGATCACGGATCATCAAGGATGTACATTACACACGTGATTTAGTTTTGTGCATATTTTATTTTTTAGTTCACTAAAAATACTGCATTAGTTGAAAATATTTTTGAAATTTCATTCTGAGTTGCCAGGAGAAGAGAATTTTTTTCAGAAATTGTACTACTCAGAGTTGGCAGATTTGCAAGGCAACAATCTAAAAATGCTGGACTGACCTAATAAATACCTGAACCATTAGTGTAGACATTAATGTAGATGAAAGATTTTTTTTCATTAATACGGTACCGGGTAAGCAGTCATGAAATTGGGCCTAGATATCACAAATAGAGTAGAAGGGTAAGCGAGATTGCTCCCTTGCCTAATTGGTTTTCCTGTTTTGCTGTTGCTCCAGGCGTTCACATTGAACAGGAATGTTACATGCCGGCATGATTGATGGGTTTGCACTTGAAGCAGCATTGAAAATTTGGGACACATTTGAACATACTGTTTAAACACACATTCTCCAAGCATGTTGACTGAACATCAGGAAGTCGCTGGAAATTTTTCCAGTCATGGTTAACATTTGTACAGTTACTTTTTGGCTGCTTTCAGCTAAGTGTATGATTGTGTGCTGTATCACTGTAATTTGAGCATTGGGAGAATAATGAAATACCCTTTACAGTAACCCGTTCAATTGTGAAAACTTTTGGCTGTTTGTTGGGGGTTAGCAAGTAATGGCTATTTTGTGTGTGTGTTTTTCTTCTATTTGAAAAAAATTCCCCTTCAAAACAAGGCTAGAATATCGGCAACCTCTACTTTTAAAGTATCTTTACATTTTGTTTCACTCAATTTTTAAAAACCTCTTACAAGTGGTGTACCAGCCCAAAATTTCCTTAGCAGCCTTGGAAGATTTCCCCTTACACAGCTGAAGGATTGAGGAGTCACCTGCAGAGGGCATTGCTAGAAAATATAAAACTCTTAACATTGTTGGCAGTTGACGACGTGCATAGATGAAAAAAGGAACAGATTCCTAACAGTACTTATAAGCAAGGATTGCCAGTATGCATGTTTGTTGCCAGGTACCCTCTTATGCAGGCTTCGAACTTGACAGCGGCCACCAGCAGCCAAATACCGCGATGCCCCAGCAAAGTGCCATGATGCCTTTTAAAATAATATGTATCTTCCTGCCAAGTTGGTCGACATGCCCCGCCCACTGATTCCGCTTCTTTATGTATATACTCAAAAGTGGTTTTTATGTTTTGACCATTTTGAATGACAAAATGTTTTGGGACATTGTGTAAGGCATCATGGCGGTTCTCCATATACTTGCAGGGCACACATGCACGACATGCGTTCAGATCCTACGTACATCGTGCATTATGTACATGTACTGTAGGCTGCATACGAATCTGTTGTCTAGAGCTGTAGGTGTACTTGTAGATGTAGTTCTTCACTCCGTTGGAAATGCGCAGAGACGCGCATGCAGACACAAGCAGAAAATAGACCTAGCCTAAGCTTCGGAAGCCCATTTCGGACACGGCTGTAATAAGTACAGCAGTAGAGAACTTGGCATGGCAACCATATCAAACATAGGTGAATTGCACCATAAACATGGCATCAGGCTGGTCGTATATGTATATATAGACTGGCTGCCAGTCCTCATACAGAGTTGCACATTTTTCACAGATTCTGGGGTGCAGTGGGCTTGGTGTATGACTGTATTATGGGGCCTGAGTTATGGGGCTGGGAGTGGGATCCAGTCTGGGTTTTCTCTGGCTGTTGTGCTTGCATAATTATTCGTACACACTCTAATCCATGTATTGGTTTTAAGTAATAGACAGGACAATCCAACATCAAACGATAAATAGCAGATATCCTTAGTATTTATTGATGTTTACCAGTGCTTTATTTTTACAATGATTCAGTGTCATTGCACAGCTTATGAATAATGAACGACAATGAAAACATATGGCTTGGAACTTGGAAAGTTAAACACCCTCTTGATATTGAAGGAAAGAACAAACTTGGCAAATGAATCAATCAACAAGTAGCATTTTGAAAATGGCCTTGGTGCCCTTTCCAGTTGTCTGGTATGTCCCCTTTTTTGAAAAGCTTTTGAGGCCAGTGGCCTTCCACTCCCCTCTGAAGCTTAAGGTTGAAGCCTGCACGTTTGTCCAGTTGTTAAGGTGAAAATGTCTTAAACATTTGCATAAATATGTGCAAATGCTGAAATTTTAGTTTTCATGTGCGAGTACATGCAAAGTATTGTATGCTGAAATCCTCCCATTTTTGACAATTTTATCAGAAATTAACATTGATACTTTTGCCTTAGCATTTCTTGTGTCTAACAGTAACAGGTCATGGCAACACAGCTTGGGAGCACTTGCAAAACTGTCAATATGTCATCCACAGAGGGGGCTATTCACAATCACCATAATTTGTTAATTTGCACTTCACTGCATGCATCAAGCTTTGTATGGTACAACTGAAATTCCTGCTATGTCTCAACATGTTAGAAGCTGGTCATTTCTCAATGAATCTAAATGAATACTTGAATTTTTAAATGTGTTTTTAATTTGTGACCGTGCACACTTATTCATGTAAACCTTTGCAAGCAGCTTTGGTTGAATGTTTCTTGAAGTGGATGGTAGAGGTGTAGAGGCAGTGTAGTACATGTACATATCTTTCTGTTGTATAGATGCATTATTTGTCGGCAGACGATTTATTTACTTGGGGTACAGCAGGCCTTGCGCTAACTTTTTTCCTGGCTAGCCCACTGGGCTAGTTAACTGGATATTTTACTAGCCCGTTTAGAGTTTTATTAGCCTGCGTATGAAAAAATTATCACCCTGTTGCACAAACATCACGTTTCGAAAAACACAAGTAAAAACACATCAACAATGACTCAGTTTTTGCGATCTTGTATTCATTTTCACAAAAAGCATTGTGTATTTTTTAAGTTGTAACAGGTAGGCTTATTCTGAATATTTCACAAGCCCACTGGGCAACCAAGGAACCAAATTAAAGTAGCCTGGTGCATTTTTCGCAAGAATTTGTACGCCTGGCTTGTACTATTTCGAGGCCTGTACAGGCACAGGTCCCACTTGCCATCTTCTTCTCCTTGCTTCAAACAGTGCTGTTAGTCATCTTTCACATCCACTGATTAGCCATTACGAAGCAAGCTGCCTTCAAGTTCATGTACAGCCTCAGTTAATTTCACCTCCTCATCCCTTCTTTGTCAATTTTACCATTATTATCTTCTTGAACATTGTAAAGAGGTGTCAATCAGCTCATGGGAATATTTCCAAGTTGATGCAGGCTCTAAGCATGTCCGAGTTCTGGAACGGAAAGTACATGGATATATGTTTCCTTGGTACTCTTTGCTGGTACCAAGCGCTCTAAATGAATTGATAGTGTAAACTACCCTTATCGGGTTGTGCATAGCACAGATGGCTTGGCACATCATTTCAGTGAAATTTTTTCAGATGAAATGATCCCCTTTTCTTGGCTTGGCATCTGTAGTGACTAACAATGCTCAGAAATGGCAGATGTTGGATCACGTGTACATTTGCACGTATGTTCATAAAGCAATAAAACAAAAATGTCAGAACTTGATATGTGCATGTCTCTGGTTTCTCTTCCTTTGTTCAGCCAATCAGCAACAACCGTGAGAGGAAACCGGGTGAGGGGCGCAACGAGTCAGTCATCGTCATCGACAGTGACAGTGACGGCGAGCGGGAGCATGTGTCCCTGCATCACCACGGCAACCCAGACTCTGTGCAATCCTCTCTGTCTCCCAAGTCTGGCAGCAGCAGCAACAGTCGGCCAGCGTCAGAAGGTAGGTCAAAATTTCAACTTCTGAACCCATTCCCAAACCCACATGAACAAGTCGTTTCTTTTTATCTCTCATGTGAACATATCCCTGTAAGGCATTCAGCAGGTCTTAAGCCCCAGGAATTGAAGTCCGGTGCGCAGTCTACACACTGCAGTACCAAGGGGGGATTTACAGTAGCTGATTGAAAATGCTTAAAGGGTAGACGCAATGAATTTTTCTTAGACAATTTTTCTGCAACTTTTCACTCTTCTTCAATGTATGAACACTCTCTTATACTCTCATGTGGTTAAATGCACTGAAAAGTGCACTTTTTTAAAACTTCAAATTTTCCATGCTTTTCTAGGCAACTAGGGGCACCATTGCTGTGATGTCATCCGGGGAATGCATAGTTCTCTGCGTGGGTTTTTCTATTAAAATAGTGAACTCACAATTACTTTCTGAAAACATTTCTGAGAAAAGCAAAAATGTTCACTTATTGCTGTGCACATAAACAATGAATTAGCAACAGAAAATTTAGTACAACAAAATCTACAATTCTATTTTTTTTGAAAACCAGTCCACCATCTATACCTTTGACATCAGAACCACAAACTGCAGGAAAATGTCCGTTTAAGATGACATGCAGTGGAAATGTGTGGTTTGGATCTTTGGCGTATAAACTCGGTTAGTTGTCAGAAAGACACAAGTAGCTCATCATGATAAATGACTTTCTGAAGTCACACACAAATCTCATAAACATCCCATGGCAAAATAAATATCTATTGTTAAGCAGTCCCTACCAGATGCAAAAACAGCGGTGAATGTTGTGTGCATTACATTATTGGAAAGCACCAAAGCACATGTATGATGACATGGCCATGCCGATGTGCACAGCTGCACTGGAGTCTGCATGGCTCGTGTGTACTTTTCTTGATAATCACTTGTGACATGTAGATGTTATCAAACGTTGGACCAGGGCAGAAGATACTGGCACCAGCAGAGTTTTACTTGGCTTTGCGCACGGTCCATTTCAGGCCTCCTTATTTTTTTTGGTGTTGAATGCTTTTTACGATCCTCATTAGATTCAGCCCTAGGTTTTGAAACCTTGTCTACCGCACATTGCAGCAAACTGAAGTCAGTTTTGCCCTGTAAATGGAGATCAGTGAAGTTTAGGGAACAGGGTTTTGTCAATTTTTTTCTGGGAAACCTCAGGTTGAGAAAGAAACCACCGATATCAAAATGATATTGCCAATATTCCTCCAGTATTCGATACTTGTTGTAAGAGCAAGTCATTCCATTTAGGCCCCTTTATCCTTATGACACTTTGTTGTAATTGCTGTTCACAGCTGTTTACAGACCAGTGGTATGTGAATGCTTCCTATGTGAATGATTACATGTAAATTAACTCATTCAGTGAAGTTCTACCTAAATGTTGACCAAGTTTACTCCCACGAAATCTACCGATATTTGTTCTCTCTGCTCACCACTTTCATGAAAAAGGCAGAAGAATCAAGACAATGTTATCTGCTGTGTTCTTGTATGCTGCCCTCTTGTGGTAGCTTTTGGCCAGGTTGAGTGGTGTTTGCCAGAGTTGCTGTATGCACCTCCGTGACTGCAATGTAATGTACATGGGTCTCGCACTGGTGCAGGCACTTCTAATGCTGTTAAATTAATGTAGGCACACATATTGCGCATATTGATGAAAGCAGTGAAAAAAGTAGGGAAAAAAATCACAATTTGATATATGTGCATTTTTTTATGTTCGATATATTTGAATACAGTATTTTGATTTTTGCCCAAAATGTTGCTTTGTGAGAGTATTTTCTGAAGATTGTTTTCCCTTCCAATTTATGGATCATTCTTAATGTCAGTATTCATTGAAAGTAATACCAAACCTGTCTTTTATCACATTTAGGGTTGTTGCAAATTTTTTGATCTGCAGAAACTGCCCTTTTTAGGAAGATTAAATGTGATATTTTTAAAATGAAAATATGTACATGTATTTTGTGTTAAATTGTACCTGAATTTGAAATACAGGTGCTCAAGTTGTGTCAAGTGGTCAAGAATGTCTTCGTCTTCAGTCAAGACATTCTTTGATTACATATTTTTCTTCATTGTGTGAAGCATACTGAAGGATAACGTCTTCCTAAATAAATCTATTTTATTAAGCTTGACCACCGAATCCCAAATGGAAGAAGTACATACATGCCTTTAAAAACATATTTGCAGTATAAATACCCATTTCCTTCATTATGCATGCTTTAAAAAAAAAGTTGTCAGTGTATGACATCAATTCCTGAATAATTGATCAGGTTCTAACAGTTCAGGCATAAATAATCTACCTGTGAACTATTCTTCATTGATTAGTTTATGGTATGTCCTGTCCTCTTGTCTCCCCCCTCCTTTCAGTGGCAGTACGGTCACCCCCGCCCCAATAATGCACCAATCCGGCTCAGCCCCAGACTGTGCATGCAGTGGAATCTGCACCTGTCCATCTGTTGTTATGCAAATGAAGGAGACACCTGATAATGACCAATCAATTACCATTGCCAGGCTCCTGAGCTACCCATCATCAGAGCAGGCAGTTGGAAGGGGAGGGGGTTGAAAGATTTGCATCATATTAGGGACACATTCTACATTTGACTATAAAGCAAGGAGAACGGATGCTATGAATTAGTGGACAATTTATCAGGGAAATGAGGGGGGAAATGATCTTAGAGTTTTCCAATGTGCTTCCAAATTACATGTAAGCTGGCTTTATTGATGAAATCACAAATGCATTGCCACTTATGGCATTTTGGTAACAAGTCTGACGTCTGAGCGTTATTATATGCTTCAAGGATTCTTGTAAACAACAATTTTTTTTAAATCCTTTTTATAATGAATAATTTGGTTCAACCATAATTCAGTGCAAGTGGACTTTTTCATTGTGGAAATTAGGGGAAAAAAACCAACTTCATAATGATTTAATATAGCACTGCTTAAAGTGTAGACCTCACTGGTACCTTCTCTTATCGCAACATAAATTTCCATATCGGCTTTTGAGCGCTGACAAGTTTTTTGTCAGGGATCCAGTGATATCAAACCAATGACATTAGCATTTGCCCCTCCTATCTGATTGGGGCTATCTTTATATACTAAATGGGTAGATACCATGGTCATTCAATACCAGGTTTGCTTGCGATAAACAAATAAACAGGGTCATGTGCCAGTCTTGATTGTGTACATGTGCACGCATGAAGGCTTGAGCAGTTCTTGTAACCTGCTGGAGTCATATGACTGGAATCTCCAATAAAAACAGATTGTTATGAGTAACAGTGTGACCTTTACACACCAACATTGGAAAAGGATGAAATACGAACAGAATTGGGCATAGAAGCTTTGTGAAGTTCTGATGTTTTTGTTTTAGTTTTAAAAAAAGGAAAATGATTTCAGCTTTTCTTTTCCCTCACTGGCTTGTCTTGCTTCCCCCTCCCAACTTACCCCTCTGTGTCCACCCGATTGTCCAGCGCTAATCTCCAGTCTTTTGTCAGGCGGATGCCCCAGAGATGGCTTGACCATGCTGGATGATCCAGGAAAACGGAAACTCGTTATTGATTGTTTCTTGCGAAGTGACTGTCGTGCACATGTACCAAGCCAGTTCGTAAGGGGTTGCAGCTTGAGCTGGTCCAAAGGTGCTTTGTTTGAAGTTAGCTGAGAGATAGCCATGGAAGTCTTGTTTGCACAGTTGTTTGTGTCGTGCATTGGAGCATTCTTGTGTCAGCATCGATCGGGGTGACCTGGCCCCTCAAACAAGAGTGCACTTCCTGAAATCTAGTTGTCAGACTGAATCATCAGCCGGAGGTAGAGAAGCATGGCAATACGGAAGAGGCTTACAGTGGCCTATCGTTTCATGTTTCCAAAGGAGAGAGTTGCAGCGTAAACTTCTTGGACTTGTTTGATGCAGGCAAGTCACTGTTACTGTAAATTTTCCTACCTCAGAAAACAGTCCTTTGAAAAGATTTCCCATTTAATTATCATTGTTGAAAAGGTTCAAATAGGTACAATGTAGTGTCTTGTTTTAGAGTAATTTTTAGCCGCAGATGGCGCTGTAATCTCAATTTGTTTGGGGAATGTTCCCTTGATTTTGTTTGGCATCCCTAAATTTACATTTATAGGGAGAGTAACACAAATCATGGTAGTCGAAAAGATTGCCAACTTGTCAGGCACGCTCTTCTTTATGAAGTTCCTTCATTTGTCAATTATTCAACTTGACTTTCAATTGAATTTTATTTAATTTATTCCGTGGGCAGGGAAGTAAACACTAAGCCGCTCACTTTACAGATGTGCCAGTAGCTGGAAGGTCCAGTAGGACAATGACAAGCCCAGAGGATGGTGATTAATGGGGCGCCAACATATTTTTTGACCTCCTTCTCCCCCCCCCTTTAAAAAAAGTGTGATCTTTGTTGATACTGGCTAGATAGGTCTTTGCACACTGCCCTTTTTTTCTGTTAATGCTCAGATACTTGAATTGCAAGGCGGCTCAGGAAAGGTGAAAGTGAAATTCTGCTTGCGCAGAAAAGTGGAAATCCATCATTAAAGTGAAAAGCTATATTTCTTGGCTGAATTCATGTTACATTTGAATTTTTTTTTATTTTCAAGTACTGAATGGGACAGAAAAAAGTGGTTCTAGTAATGAATAATGTAGCTGTGGGTCAGAGTTGAACAACTGCATTTCCACTTACTGGTTGTATGTTGTTGACTGTTCACTTGCTACAAAAACCATCTGTTTAATATTAACATCAAGAATTGACACCTTATACCTTTTACCAGTTTCTCATTTCCTCGCATGTTAATTATTTCACCTGACGCATCTCCTGAATTTTCGTGTTAACAATTCCCTGCAGGAAAGTGGCATTGTAATAAACTGGGAATTTTTCATCATATGCCCAAGCACAGAATGTTGTTTGCTGTTCCATTTTTTTTTCCTGAGGAGCAGTTGTGGGGTTGGGGTGTTGTAGATAATTCTAACCCCCTGGTGATTT